AGCGGATCTCCACCTGACAGCTAGTCTGGCCTCCCAGTGAGCCACACAGAGATCGGCAGCCTTGATCAAGCATTTGAAAATGAGGGGCATACCCACCGTGGTGTGCAGCATTCAAAGTTAGGGTCTGATTTCATATATATCCAAAAGAATTCAAAGCAAGATCCTGAACAGATGTTTGTGCCCATGTTCACTGCAGCATTATTCACAATAGCCAAGAGGTGGAAGCAACCCATATGTCCATCCACGGATGAATGCATAAACAAAAGGTGGTATATGCATTCAGCGGAATATTATTCCACCTTAAAAAGGAAGGAGGGGCCGGCCCCGTGGCCGAGTGGTTAAGTTCGTGTGCTCCCCTTCGGCAGCCCAGGGTTTCGCTGGTTTGGATCCTGGGCATGGACATGGCACTGTTCATCAGGCCACGCTGAGGCGGCGTCCCACACGGCAGAGCCAGAAGGACCTACAACTAGAATATACAACCATACACTGGGGGGCTTTGGGGAGAAGAAGAAGAAAAAAAGAAGATTGGCAACAGATGTTAGCTCAGGAGCCAATCTTAAAAAAAAAAAAAAAAAAAAAGGAAGGAAATTCTGACGTGTGCTACAACATGGATGAACCTTGAAGACATACTGCCGAATGAAATAAGCCAGATACAAGAGGACAAATACTGTATGATTCCATTCACATGAGGCGTCTAGGCAGTCAGATTCACAGAGTCACACGGGAGCAGGGAGGGTGCCAGGGGCTGGGGGAGGGGCACTGGGGACATGCTGTTAAATGGGTCTAGAGTTTCAGTTTTGCAAGGTGAAAAAGTTGCACAACAATTCGAATATACTTAACACCCCTGAACTGTAAAAAAAAAAAAAAAAATTAAGATGTAATCTGAAAAAGAAATATTGACGCTACAGGCAGAAGTGAGGTGAAAATAACAAAAGAAAATATTGGCGCACAATATACGTGATTCTGTTTTTGGCAAGGCAGGGACCGGGGTTCCAGAAGAAAACTCCACAATTCTGATAACGGACGGAAGAACGTTTATGCAGAACATAAAGATTGGCAGCAAGTGATGTCACACACTACTTAGGGGATGACATTTTAAAAATCACACAAATCGTTACAATTATAGCATGTTTGATTAATGGGATTATTTTGAATAAGGTAAGGAATACTGACTATTTCTCAATAATTTGGGTCACAAAGCCTGTTTGCAGTTGACGAGTCAGTTGACAATTACTGGTATGTGGGTAGATTTCCAGATTGCACCTATTCCTACAGGTAAACACTTCGGGGAATTTTGTGCAGTAGATGCTATAACCGGAGACAAATGATACATACATTTAGTAAACTGCTTACATAACCCAAATCTGGAAAAACATTTGAGAGGCCAGGTATTTGCAGCTGTGCACAGAAATGGAAAGGTGCATGGAAGCTTATGGAATACAATAGAAGATTCTTGAAAAAATTCTAAAGCGTTTAATAGACCCAGGTGGACACTCAGACACCAGGCAGCTGAGGACATGGAAACAGATGCTCTGGCAGGCGGCTGGCGCTGGGACAGAGACATGAGGTGACACCTCCTGGACCAGCCTCCTTTCTCACCTCCTGGAGAAGCAAATCCTTGTTCTGCACATTCTTCAAACTGGATAACAAATAATGCAGCAGAAATTTCTTCATATGCCACTGAATTTTTAAATATCTCTCCAACTACTCTTTGGCTTCTAATAAATGTTGGGATGTATTGAAAACACATATATGAGAAATAAGTCTGAAACTATTCAATATACAAAGAGAAAGCGGATCTGATGGCAACATAGCACTAAATGGGTGACACCTCTTAGAAACTGTTCGAGATATTCACAGAGATTTGCATCTTAGAACATAAGCCAAAGCTACACTTTGAGAATCATCTACTTTTAAATGGTGTTTTAAGTGAAATTGATATTTTGAACAAAATAATGCAAGAATCCGATTATTGCCCTTCCAAGTATCAAAGTGGGGAAAGAATGACAGATCAGTGACAGGTTAGAAAGTGTCGAGTCCAGGTGATGCGGCATCCTCTTCTCTCTGCATTTGTTTGTGTTTGTTTGAAAATTTCTACAGTGGGGCCGGCTCCGTGGTCCAGTGGTTAAGTTCACGCACTCCGCTGCGGCGGCCCAGGGTTCAGATCCCGGGCGCGGACATGGCACCGCTCGTCAGGCCACGTTGAGGCGGCGTCCCATATCCCACAACTAGAAGGACCTGCAGCTAAGATATACAACTATGTACGGGGGGTTTGGGAAGATAAAGTGGAAAAAAAAAAAAAAAAAAGATTGGCAACAGTTGTTAGCTCAGGTGCCAATCTTCAAAAAAAAAAAAATTTCTACAGTAAAACATTTTAAAAATAGCACCCTAATGGCTACCACAAAACATCCTCATTTCCCCCCAACCCTTAAATAATTAATCATTAAAGAGTGATTATTGAGCCAGCCCTGATGGCCTAGTGGTTGAAGTTTGGCACCCTCCACTTTGGCAGCCTGGGTTTGGTTCCCCAGCGTGGAACCACACCACCTGTTTGCCAGGAGCCATGCTGTGGCAGTGGCTCACATGGAAGAACTAGAAGGACTTACGACCAGAATGTACAACTATGTACTGGTGCTTTGGGGAGGAGAAGGGAAAAGGAAAAAAAGAGAGAGGGAGAGAGAAAGACTGGCAACAGATGTTAGCTTGGGGCAAATCTTTCCCAGGGGAAAAAAAAGAAAAGCGATTACCAAAAAAAGAATCTGTGGATTCACAGGGAGCTCAGAGTTCATGTTGTACGGCCCTCTGTGGATGCAACAACTCTGCCAAAATCTCTCCACCTAGGTCACTGGGTCTCCACTTGATTACGTCCTGCAATGGGGGGGCTCCCTACCTGATAACTCACAGCCCCCAAAGGTACCTGAAGGTTACCAGAGTCAAAACCACACAGACTCCCCCAGCCACTTACACAGACTCTCACACACACACTCTCACACTCACCACACAGACTGGGCTGCACACTCTTCATGCCTCAGTCTCTGAAACGGTGAACCACTGTGAACACTTCCAAGGCCTCCACCCTCCTAGGGGCTGCAGAAAACCCGGCTCCTTCCGTAGCCAGTCTCCACCCTGCAGGGGCCTTTAGCTCCACCCTGCCCCTGCGTGACCAGCTCCAAAAAGAGAGCCTGGGATGGGAACAGGAGAAGCAGGAAGAATAATTGGGATGCAAAACAGGTTCGGGGAAGCGAGGCCTGACGGGAGGGGCCGGGATTTGGCAAGAAGAGGGTAAGGGAGGCTCTGCCAGTGAGTGTCCACAGCGCCCGGGTGTCTGCTGTCAAAGAAAATGGCACCAAAGTTAAACAGGCACGGGAGGCTTTATCGGAGACTATGGCGGCTGGGGAGAGAGACTGAACCCAACTCCAGCGAAACGAAAGGCAGGAGGATTTTAATCACCAGATGGGCTAGTGGAAAAGTGCTGGAGGAGGAGAGGAAGGAGGTCGGGCCACGGGACGCGTGCAGCACACTGAGTTATTCCTGAGTCTGCAAATGTTTTTTCTCCGTGATCAGGCCATCTGTGTTTGCTAATTGTCGCTCATTCAAGCTGGGCGCCTCCCTCCCCACCCCCCCACCCGAGCCTAGAGTCGGGGCACTATCTTCCTTGATAATGACATTTCAAAGGCAGGGCCTCCAAGTCCTGGAGGAAAACATTCCCAGGTTGTAAAACCGGCTAGAGGTGGGGAGATTTCCCCACATTTCAAAGGGACCGAGAAAGAATTTGCAGTGACAAGTTTTCTAAAGGAAATGCTCCGAGTAAAAGGGGCGGGGGGGGGGGGGGGGGGTGGGTATCGTCAAGAAGAAATCTGTGTAAAATTCAGTCAAGCTCAGGGGACCGTTAAGGTCATCCTGGTCACCGCCATTGTGTCAACCCTGTCCCATCCCTCTGTGGGTGCGAGAGTCTAGGTCTCTGCACCGCCTGGCGCCCATCCTGCTCGGCACGGTGAGCGGGTGTGATCCCAGCAGGGGGCTCCTCCAAGAGGCAGGTCAGGAATGGCTGACCTAGGGTCTCTGTCCAGCTCCAACTGCCCACAGGGGCATCCGTCTGGATGACCGCATCTGCCCAGTGTCTGAGTGCCAACATGGGTCTGTCTGTGTCCTCAGGGGACAATGGGTCCCTCTGGTTGTCTGCCTGTGTCTCTATCTCCTCCAATGGTTTTTAATTCATTCATTTAATAATCTAATAAACATTTATTAAATGTCTTCTGTGGGCGTGTCCTGATCATCGGGGTGTCCCTCTTCATGGCTGGGCTGGTCTATGTTTCTACAGTGACATCTGTCCACACTGGTGTGTCTGTCTTTCTGTATCCCACATGTAACTGCCCCTCTGGGGGTCCCTGTCTCTATGTCACTCTCTCTCTCTGTCACTCTGTTTCTCTCTCTGTCTGCCTCTCTGTCTGTTTGTACGTCCATTGATTCATTCATTCATACAACATCGCAAACATCCCCTGAGGCCTGTGATGCGGGAGATAGACACCAGCCCAACCCAGGTGAGGAGGGCTGGGAGACAGGGAGGTGCTTGAGGCTGAGGTGGGTGGGAAAGTGGGAGCGATGGGGGTCAGAGAAGGCTTTGTGGAGGCGTTGTCTGCATCCCTGGGGCTGGAGACGTGGCCCCAGGGTTGGAGGCTGCGTGTCTGAGTGTAGGGTGGTATACGTTGGGGTGGCGGGAGAGAAGAGAAATCAAGAGACCATGTGTGCCAGCCTTGGACTAGAACACATTGCTGGGGTTGGGGTCGAAAGACAGCCTGCAAAACACAATGTCCCCCAAAATTAAGGGTTACAGGCCCCTGGTTCCTCCTCCCTCAGATCCAGGAGCCCAGGCCCCCAGTGCCCTCCTTCCTCAGACCCAGGGCTCACCACGGCCCATCATGATTACCTAGGAGGAGTCGAGTCCAAGCAAGGGCAGGCGGGGGTGGAGGAATCCTGGCCAGGCTGGGTAGCCGGGATGCCTGGGGCTCAGCAGGGAGAACCAGCCAAGCAGAAAGCAGAGCAGGAGGAGCTGTCCTCGGTGTCTCCCGGAGCTCCACGACCTGGCCATGGGAGTCCCCAGGGCCACCCTGCTCGGCCTCTTTGGGGCTGTGCTCTGCCTGACAGGTACCCAGACTTCTGAGTCCAATGGTAAGAAGGGCTGGGGGCCTGGACCCCTGGGTCTGAGGGAGGAGGGACTGGGGGCCTGGACTCCTGGGTCTGAGGGAGGAGAGGCTGGGGGCCCAGACCCCTGGGTCTCAGGGAGGAGAGGCTGGGGGCCTAGACCCCTGGGTCTTGGTGAGGAGAGGTAGGACTGTGTCCCCCCATTTCTCTTCCCCTCCTCTGTGCTTGCCTGTCAGCCAGCATCTCTCTTTCCAACACCCCAGCCTCTCTCCTCCTCCCTGCCCGCGCCCCCACGCATGGGTACTTGTGGGGAAGGGTGGGGGCTCTTTCCAGAACTGGCAGGGAACCACAGCTTCATCCTCAGGCTACCCTTGTCCCCAGTTTGGGCAAGGACAGGGCCATACTCCCATCAGGACTGCAGGGGCTACAAAGACAGGCAGTTAGAGTGGTGGGGAGGAGGCCCCGCCTGCACACACAGACCTCTTGTGTGTCTGCTCATCCACAGAAGAGAGTTTGATTTCTGTATGTGTCCATATGTCACCACGTCCTGTGGTCTCTGTGCTTGTCTGCGTTTCTCTGTGCCAGATTGCCATGTCTGGGTGTTTGAACAAATGCTGTATGGGTCTGTTTATCTCTGAGCTTCACTCTCTATGTAAAAGAGATGTGGGTATAATTTTGCATCTCCGTGGCTCTCTTTGTGTTTGTGCATCTCTGTGATCGGTAGGCCTGCATTTATCTCTGGGTATATGTGTTTGGGTATTTTAATATCTGTCTCTATGTGTCTTGTACCTATGATTTTATTTATTTATTTTCTATTTTTTAATTCTTTGCAGGGAAAGATTCACCCTGAGCTAACATCTGTTGCCAACCTTTCTCTTTTTTTCCTCCCCAAAGCCCCGGTACGTGATTGTACGCCCTGGTTGTAAGTCATTCTAGTTCTTCTATGTGACCCGCTGTCACAGCATGGCAACTGACAGAGGGATGGTGTGGTTCCGCGACCGGAAACCGAACCAGGGCCGCCGAAGCGCCGAACTTTAACCACTAGGCCACCAGGGCTGGCTCTATGACTTTAAGTTGTATGTTTTTGTGGGTGTCTTTTTCGTGCATCTCTAACTCTGCATAATTGTGGTCTCTCATTTTCTTTGCGTGTTTCTGATTCTTGGGTCTTTATCTGTCTCTCTCTGGGTGGGAAGGCCCGTGTTCCTGGATCTCTGTGTGCATTGCTATGGTTTCCATAACCACACGTTTTCCTGTCTGTAAGTATGATTTTGCATGCGTGCAATGTGTGCCGTGGTTTGGGGAGTTTCTAGTGGAGGGTCTGGCTGCAACTTGTTTTGTGTGTGAATGCAGAACTCTGCGTGGACGCATTCAGGATATTCTGTGTATATTTGTGAGATTCGCACGAGCGTGTGTCAATTCTGTTATTTCGTGTTTAGGTCGGTGTTTAAGTGTCTTGTGTGTGTCCTGTTGGGGCCGGCTGTGTGTGTGTATTTGTATACAACCCTGCGCATCTCGCCGCCTGTTTGGAGTGTTTGTTTTCCATCAGTGGCCTGTTAGTGCAACTGAACGTCATGAGATTAGTTGGCAGAGGGACTGGCAGAGCAAGAGTGAATCACTTCCTCCTTCATCAAAATCTTAGAGGGCTTCCTGGAAGAGGGTGGAGATCGGGAGCAGCCTCGGGGGGTAAAACTGGACTGGTGGGTGCAGAGAGGTCATGACTTTGCCTCGAGGTAGACCCAGCCATGACGGCCAAGCCTGGTTCCCTCAAGGCAGCGAGGCCTGTCTCCCCTCGGAGCCGAAGAGCCCTGCCCGTGCGGCCCGCCGGCATTTGCAGGGTGGAGCCCCACGTCCCTGGAACAGGCTCATCCCTGGCCTGCTCGTCTCACCCCACCCCTGCTCCTCTCCTCAGCATCCCAAGCCCTGCAATGCCACAGCTTTCAACACATCTACTTCGGGCCCTTTGACCTCAGTGGCAGGAAATTCCTCAATGTCTCCTGTCTCCACGGATGCTCTGAGGCGGTCCTGTCCCTGGACACTGGTGAGGGCAGAAGGATGGAAGAGAAAGGAGTGGGGGAGAGACTAGAGAGGGAGGTGGTGGGGGGAGCCAAGAGCTTAGAGGGGCAATTGGGTAGAAGCGGAGGGGAAGGATAAGGTCAGAGATGGGGAGGTGGAGGAAGGGCGGAGAAGGGAGAGAAAGAAAGGGGGGGTGAGGGGAGGGACCAGAGGGAAGGGGAGACAATGGGGAGCCAGGGAGCGGAGGTGGGAGAAGGGAAGGAAGGAGGAAGAGGGGAGGGAGAGAAGAGCGGACCGATGACAGGGGTGGTGATGAGGAGAGGGGAGGAGAAGGGGTGAGGGGAGGTGGGGAGGGGCAAGTGGAGTCTGGAAGGGAAAGAGGGAGGAAACGGAAGGGCAGGAGGGAAAAGCAAGTGAGGGAGGCAGAAAAGCGGAGGAGGGAGAGGCTGGAGACTGGAGGTGGAGAGGCGAGGCAAGAGGGAGAGGAGAGAGAAGGCTGCCAGGAGGCGGCGCACAGACCCCACCCCCTCCCGCCCGCAGGGTATCGCGCCTCAGTGACCCTGGTACACAAGGGCTGCTGGACAGGCCCGTCCACGGGCCAGATGCAGTCCAACCACCACGCGCTGCCGCCCGACTACTCGGTGGTGCGCGGCTGCGCGACCGACTTGTGCAACTCCGACTTGCTGAACCATGACGCCATCCCCAACCTGAGCCCAGGTGTGCCGGGGGGACGGGCCGCGAGTGCGACGGTGAGGGGCTGGGAGGGGCTCTGCCGGGGCTGCCCCGGCAGGGTGGGGAGGGGCGTGGCCTCCGCTGGGCGCCTCCTCCCGGCGGCCAGGATTGCAGCCCCCCCCCCCCCCCCACTCACTCCTGGCACGTTGTCAGAGCCATGGGAAACTGCCACCGAGGGCTCAGGGATGGAGCCAGCCTTGCATGGTGCTGGCTCTTGGAAGCATGACCTGTGACACCCTCACAGGTGATGACCTCCTTAATGGGTGGTGGAGAAACTTGCAGGACTGGTGAGGGCGCCTGCCAGGGAAGGCACAGGCAAGCAGTAAGAGGGGCACTGAGGCGTTCCAGATTGACTTGGATTTACTTTTTATAGGGTGTTTTTGTCACTATTTAGCTGATTGGGCCCACCCTCTTTTTTTAAAAAGAAGATGGGTGTCTTAGTTTGGGTTACCCTAGAA